ATTTATTTTCCCGCCTATCCGTTACCCGTCCGTCTAAATGCGAGTCGGACGGACGGCTGACGGTAGCTATGACAGATAGGTTTGCTGACTGTTGTTGTGACGGAAGTTGTTTGTAAGCGGCCGTCCATTCCCAAAGGTCAAAGGTTAGATAAGCAGGGTCACTGACCAGAAGTTAGTTGTCTTGTAGTAGCCAATCTGACAGTCTACGATGTCATTGGTCATTCATGACAGGACAGCAGACAGTGGTACAGGCAAGGTTGGGGGTCAGGGATAAGGTTAGGGGGGGGAGGGTTCAGGGGGTAGGGTTAAGGTTTGAGGTCAGGGGGTAGGGTTAAGGTTAGAGGGGCGAGGTCGGGGTGGGGTTAAGGTTAGGGGGGGGGGGGGGGGTTCAGGGGTAGGGTTAAGGTTTGAGGTCAGGGGGTAGGGTTAAGGTTTGAGGTCAGGGGGTAGGGTTAAGGTTTGAGGTCAGGGGGTAGGGTTAAGGTTTGAGGTCAGGGGGTAGGGTTAAGGTTAAGGTTTGAGGTCAGGGGGTAGGGTTAAGGTTTGAGGTCAGGGGGTAGGGTTAAGGTTAGAGATGGGGTCAGGGGGTAGGGTTTAGGCTAGAGATGGGGTCAGGGGGTAGGTTTAAGGTTTGAGGTCAGGGGGTAGGGGGTAGGGTTAAGGTTTGAGGTCAGGGGGTAGGGTTAAGGTTAAGGTTTGAGGTCAGGGGGTAGGGTTAAGGTTTGAGGTCAGGGGGTAGGGTTAAGGTTAGAGATGGGGTCAGGGGGTAGGGTTTAGGCTAGAGATGGGGTCAGGGGGTAGGGTTAAGGTTTGAGGTCAGGGGGTAGGGTTAAGGTTAGAGATGGGGTCAGGGGGTAGGGTTTAGGCTAGAGGCTACTGGCTATTTATATTGCACCCCGCGAGATTAACGCTAAAGGAAAGCTAGCTGGATTACAGGTCCTTGGTTAGGTACTAAGTCACAGCACCTCAATCACAGATGTAGCACTGTGTGACAAGTGTATGTTGTAGCACTCTATGCTAGATGTAGCACCGTATGACATATATGTGTATGTTGTAGCACCCCATCACAGTTGTAGCACTCTGTTCTAGATGAAGCACCCCATCACTGTGACAGGTGTATGTTAAAGCACGACGTTGTTTTAAAATACAAACTTTGAATCGGCGTGAAAAGTGAAAAAGACATAGTTTATGTGACTTGTTGCCACAAAGCATAGGATCAAGCCAAAAAGCCGACAAGGTACAAAGGCTGTCGTTGCAGCAAACACAGAACAACACAGCGTGGACGGACCAGGCTGACAGAAGAAATGCCTACATTTCTTTATAAACTACATTTCTACCAGGTATTCAAATAAATATGTCACAAAATGTGAAGATGCTGAGTCAATAATATTATAGCACGTTTACTTCTTGTGAAGATCAGAGTCGTATTATTATTAAAAACAATAATACTTTTACAGTTTATAATCGGTTACCAAAAGCACCACCCATATTTTTATTAACACCCACAATTTTACAAATCTCTGTAAGTAAATCAAAATGTTCCTTAATGCACATTTGTTACTTAATTACTGTGACTTTTTTCCCGATAAAATTATCCTTTTGTGGCATTTATCTGTGTTATTGTCCTGGAACTTTTTTTTCTATTCACCGCCCCCCCCTCCACACACACCGCTATACAGAGCCGACACGGTGTGTCATAACGGTCCACGAGAACGATAACAATCAGTTGAGGTCAATCAAGGTGATTTATTTGTGTGCTGTGTGCATCAAGAGACCATTGCCCTACGGACACGTGTTCACTGAACCGTGACCACCACCTTGCCAATATGCAGACTCGACACATCTTCCAGGCTGGTGTTTTTGGTTTGTTGAAAGACAACAAAAGGTACAACAAAATTATCAACGTCATTTTTTTAAAAATAACAGAAAGGGGGGGGGGGGGGCTTACTGCTAAATAATGGTTGACTAAAACTGGTGACATGGCTGATTGGTTTTGGCTAAATATGATGCTAAGATTCGTCATTCCCCCCCCCCCCCCCCCATTGCACCATTATACAGTGCGACAGATTGACCAAGCCCTACAAGAGGAGTACTCCAGCTTACAGCAGTATAAAAATGTGCCCGTCCCGCCACACGATAAATAAATATTTCGCCGAGTATGTGGTAGGGGTCGAGGGTTACTCGGTGCAGACTCAATTTGTATCCCCGAAAATATGACGCTGATCTGCCAAGGAGATAGACAATTGTCGTAGATAATATCATAAAAAACGAATCAATCTGGATAAACCAGCTACTAGATAGAAATAAATAAACCGAATGTTCATCGGATAAAACATGGATGGGAATTAAACATTTCGTGTAGTGACTAAAAGAATTTTTTTTTTCATTACAGAAAGTTGTTTTTTGTTTTTTTTTTTACACTGGCAGAAATTAAAAGTATTGATTTCAAAATATCAATCTTGAATAAACACAAGGAACTGGGAATATGTACACAAGGCATACGTCATAGCCTGTTTTCTCGTCCAAGTATTGTTTCGCTGGGGCCGGTGCTATTGATCGGCCAGTACGTGTGACTTCTAAGTTGACTACAAAGCTCGGGGTAGATTTTGTTGAAATCTTGCTTTATTTGAACAAAACAAAAAATATTGATCGCTGTACCGTGCCTCAGCGCTGTGTAGAGGCAAGACCTTTCCATTTCTTTGTCTATCTAAAAAATTGTTTGTTTTACCCGTCGTGTTTACGGGGTGGAAACGGTGTGCCCCGGCCCCTCGCGCCCCATTGGTCGGATCTATTTATGGATTGGTTATTGTTGTTTACATAGCCGCCGATGGTCGCGGCGCGGGGTAGGGGCGGGAGTGGAGGCAGGAGACGATAACAAATTTTTGGCGGGGCTTAGGGTGGGGGATGGGGAGGTTAACAGTAACACACACAACAACGGGGGCCGGGCTGGGGAGGGTTACAGTAACACACACAACAACGAGGGCTGGTGAGTCTGTGCTGACTATGAGGGGGTTCGAGGTAATGAACAGGGTCGGAAGGTTAGTAGGTCAACTGGCAAAAATTAGTTACGCATTTGAGTCGGTTTTTCTTTTCTTCGGTGTGCTTGTTTGTGTTTAAAAACGCAGCAGGCGCCAAACAAAAATGTGTCTTAAGACGGGTTCAACACTCAAACAAAAAAATGTTAAAAACGAAACCTTTGGGCGTAAAACAATGACGTTTTGTTGTTCAGGGACGTAGGCCTAACAACTACTGAATAAAAACATATAGTTTATGTCGACATGTGCATCGCAATATGTGTCCTGTAATTAACGCATTACATACATGCTGTTAACTGAATTAAAATATTGTCTCGAGTAAACAAGCTAACATATATGTGAAATATATCTTAATAATACTTGGTGCATACAATCGTTCACAATCACTATAACTAACGGGGCTTAAAAACTTAACACATATTCTACACAAGAACTCGTTCAATAAACAAGGCGACTAAAAAAATGTCTGAGTTTAATAACTAAGACGGTGTTTGACTAGCCCGGGGTTATAGGCCTAAGAATAGATTACATGCTAATTTTTATCTAGGCTAAGAAAACAAAAATTGTGAACAAAGCTGATAAACTACTTGAATTTTTTTATTTCAACTAGAGGCAGATACACATCTTAATAAGTTGAAGGCTATTACTCTCATTGTCTTAAAATTAATTAGTACTATGCTGATTACCGGACCAAGGCATCATTATAAAAATGTATGTCTATATTAATGTGGGCCCAAGATTGTAGCCTACTAACACATAAAAAGTGAAGATTCGGGACTGAAGCTGTGCATTTTGCTAAATACAAGTATTACAACTTAAACCGATGAAACGTTTCAATACCTAGCTTTAGAACTAACACAAATTGAGTAATAATTTAGTAGGCCTACAATATTTTTAACTTGGTCTAATATTTAGACTAAAAAACTAAAATGATACGTTATTTTTTTTTTTATTTAGGCAGGATATTTTTTTAAAAAAATGGGCATAGAGTCTAGATTCTAGATCTAGCTAGAATCTAGATCTTTAACGATAGGGTTCAATCTCTAGATCTAGCTAGACTCTAGTAGTAATATTGTCCCAATGTGTTTATCTAGGCCCGGGGGAAAAAAAGACTACTAGATATAGATCTAAATTCTAGATTTAATTACTAATTAGACCTTTAATTAAATAAATATGCCTAGGCCTATTAAATTTAAAAAAAAAGGCTTTAGGCCTATGACTAATTTAAATTTTATTAGCCTAATGCTGAATTTTAAAAAAAATAAACAAAAATAAAATTCCTATCAATCCAGTAGGCCTAAGTATTAATCCTTTAAGGCTTAATCGGATATGTAATGGCTTAAATTTATACATTTTATATTTAACGTACACATGTTTCTATTTCAAGGACAGTGCTATATTTATAGAACTCTATCCAGTAAAGTTCTCGCCCATTGATTGATCCAACTGCACTCACTGAATGGAGGCAAAGGGCATAGGCGCAAAGGAGGCTAAAGAGGGAAAAAAAGTCATGCCTCTTTTTCGATCGACCCAGTGTTGACACACAAAAAATACAAAACTTACACGTGAGTTAGAAAAGTAACGTAAGATGTTAAAAGTTAATATGTAAATAAAATTGAAATTAATTTAACTTACCATTTGTTACAATCTTCTGTCGGTCTTTGAAGTAGGTTGCCAATATCGGCAAAAAGCAATCGGCTTCAAAGAGAACACGAGCACAACATTGGTGTAAATAAAAACAGATTACTACGCGAACTATAAACAAGCATTAAAAAAATAGTTTAACGAAAACGCAATATATTAACTTAAAATAAAATCACATTTATTTTATTTTTATTTTAGAATACTGAAATATTGTCAAACGAGAAGTAAGGTAGAGGCTTTAAACTAGTGCGAGCATTATTCTTCGCAGCGCAAGTATCTTGTTTTCTCTAGGTGCACTACAACCAGGACAGTGACGTCACAGGCACCTGCTGTGTAAACAGAAAATAACAAACAAAGCGGGTTGCCCCTGCGTTGCTATCTATAATTTATGATCGTCTGCTTTAAACTACTAGATTCTCAAAATTTTAAATAAGTATTACATTGATAACATGGTTGATTGTCTTACAAATGTATTGCTGACTTTTCTAGATCTATGTCAACTTCATGAATGAAAGAAAGTAGACAGCGAAGCAATCAATGACATCACGGATTTCCCTGGTGATAAAAAAAAATATTTTTATGTTGGGTTTTCATATGGAGGAAACCCTTTTACAAGATACGTTTTACAAGAAAAGAATAATGATTTAAATTTATTTTACATCAACCAGAATAGACTAGGGTCTACTTATTTTTGTTAAATATAAAGTTGATTTTTTAAAACCCAATCTGTAGGTGTTAGCATGCGATGAAGCTATAAATAAATGTAGAATCTAGTTAAAATAGAGTTCTACCACTAGTTATCTATAGATTCTAGACCACTAGTAAAAGTGATTAGGATGTACCCTACTAAAAAAAAAAAAAGAAACATTAAAAAATAAATATCGAGTTTCAACGTGTAGGTCTAGATCTAGATTCATCTCAATTTGAGCCTTAAGCTTGTCAGTGTGTATTTTTTTGTCGCAAATGTGAAATAAAAACTAATGGGAAAAAAACCAAGCTAAACAGCGAAGCCATGGTGACTTTTAATTAGTATTTGAAAAATAGTAGATCTAGATCTTTTTATAGCTGCAGCGCACTTACAAAGTTTTAGTGAAATAATATTTATTTTCCAAGTGTGTATCATGATATGACTAATCAAAAGTTGCCGAAAAAGACCTGATCTGGGCTAGTCACCCGCAGTGTGTAAGCTGCTGGTTGTTATGGTTATGGCATTTTTTAAATTCTATAAGGCCCTAACCTACAATTTGTTAAAGGATTTAGAAATATATAGCTGCGTAAAATGACTGTTTCAAATTAATGGTAATTAATTTATGTTTATAATAAATTTTGTAATCAAACACGTTTTAAAAATAGGTGACAAAGGCTTGATAGTAATCATAGTTAATTTAAAATTCTAACACAAGGGAGATAGCTCTAATATTGTCTAATAAAATGCGACAAAAACATTTTTATATCTAAGATCGTACTTTCGGTTTCAGAAAAAAGTCTGCAAGAAAAGTATTTCTAGAATAGCTGTGTGTAAGAGTTAGTTTCAGTAGTAAATCTAGTAGTTACATGAAATACTTATTAATGCTAGTCTAGTTACTACTGAGCTATTGTAGTAGTTTATTATTTAAACTATTAGTTTAATTTAAGTTTAAGTTACTAGGCCGCTAAGTCCTGTACTTTGGAGTTTGGTTGGTAGAATCTAGTCTGGCTTGGTAGATTATATTTATAATTATATTTAATATAATAATATATTATTATTATCATATGTCATATATGGCAATATATATATATGTTTATTAGATCTAGATCTATATGATTAGGCCTATATAATTATATAATATTAATTATATATTAATAGTACACTATAAAAACTAGATCTAGTCTAGTCTAGTTTTTATAGTGTAGTAGTTACTAGAATCTAGTTAGTGTAGTAATAAGTTACAGTACAGTGAAGAAAATAGATTAATAATATTAATAATACTAATAATAGATGGTTTCGTTAATACCCAAACGAAATAAAAATGTTAGTATTACTAGTGAAATAGATTACTAGATCTAGACTCCACTTGTTACGAAGCAAACTTCCAAAAATTTACCATTAATCTTTTGGTTAAAAGTAAGAAATCAGGGAATAAAATGTGATTTGTTTGGCCTCTTTCATTTGAATATGGTATGGGACAATGATGATGGCAGACTGCAGTCAGATTTATAGTAGGTTATACTTTATGATTCTAGTGTAAGAAATTTAAGATGGAGTAGCCTGGGAAATATATTAGGAGCATAATGATAGGATTAAAATGTGTTACGATCAACTAGTTAAATGAAGCAAATTTTAATGAGAAATTCTGCTTTTTCCAGTCGGTTTATTAAAGTTATATACATCATTATGTGCTGGGTGACACCATCTGGGAGAGGGGGTGACACCCAGTTGCCTGTAGGTTTAGAACATCGTCCGTAGAAGGGTGACGCCCAACGTAGTGCTTACAGTGCATGCAAGAAGTGGTGTACGTAGGATTTTTATTCAATCGAGTGGGAGGTGTTCAAAAATATTGTTTCCATATATTTACATATATAGAGATATAGCCGTAACATGTGAAATAATCATCCCCCTACTCGAAATGTTTTTTTTATACTGAAATTTCAAATTTTGCAAGTGAATCAATCATCCTCCAATTGGAGTTCGAGGAAGTCATTACAGACTTCATCATCATCATCACTCCTTTGTGGCCCCTGGGGAGCAAAGGGCAGCAACCACACATCTCCAGCGGACTCGGTTTTGGGCTGCTCCTCTAATCTGTGCCCATGAGAGCCCAACTGTTTTCGCCTCCTCCTCAACCGTTCTGTTGCATGTTTTCCTTTGCCGGCCCACCCTCCCTTTCCCCTGGGGATTCCAGTCCAATGCACATTACTTAGTTGTTTTGTTTCTCTCTCAATCCCATGGATGTCATACATTTTATTTTGTTTAGGTGATGGAGGAAGAGAAACATAAATTGACTGATGACCTCTGTCAGAAACAACTGGTTGACCCTCATCATATACTAGTGGACGGCCGCAATTCTAAACAAGGGGATGGCCAAAAACAGAAAAATATGAATGAACACCTTCAATTAGCCGCCATTATCAAAGGTGTCCACAGACAGTTAAGACGCGAGTATCGTGCAAGTACAGTAAACATTTTTTTTTTAAGTAATTAATTTATACTTATGTAACTGCCAATGTTGCTTCTAGGACCTAAGACTGGCCTTACCTCTGTTAAAACACGTAATACAAATCTATACAAGTGTTTGCTATTGTTTTCTCAGAATCTGTTATTTGTTAGAAACTTTTTAAAACAATCTGTAGAAATGCTCATAGCTGCTAAACTGTAAAGTTTGAGTTCAAACCCCAGGCTGATAAGGCTCAATAGTTGGGGCTAGCAATTCATCTAGGAGAGAAAATTCCAAAATCAAACATCTACTGCCTTGTAATTTTTCTTGGATGGGCCAAAGTTATGGAAGCAAATCCAGAAAAAAAGTAGGCTGAGATTGAGTCAATGGCCTCAATGACACATAACATGAAGAGGAAGATGCTTACTTACATACCAATGTCAACAATTTTGTGTAAGATGCTTACTTAATGTCAACAATTTTGTGTATGATGCTTTCTTACATACCAATGTCAACAATTTTGTGCATGATGCTAACTTAATGTCAACAATTTTGTGTATGATGCTTACTTACATACCAATGTCAACAATTTTGTGCATGATGCTTACTTACATGCCATTGTCAACAAATTTGTGTATGATGCTTACATAATGTTAACAATTATGTGCATGATGATTACTTACATTCCAATGTCAACAAATTTGTGTATGATGTTTACTTACATACCAATGTCAACAATTTCCTCAGATGCCAAAGAACATGAAAAAGTCTGGCAACAACATACAGAAAATGAAGCCTGCCTGGAGAGGTATGCCAAGGCCATGTACAGACTGGCCACAGAGCATTGGTCAGTGAACCCAGCCACACGAATACACTGGTGCCGCCAGGTCATGCTGGAGTATTTTTTACAGGGGGGGAGGAGGATAGCCCTAGAGAAAGATGCTAAGAGGGTGTACCATGAGAAGCTGAGGAGGAATCATCAGGTGGGTGTTTGTAGGTGGGGGGGGGGGGTGTGTAGGTGGGTGGGGTGTGTGTGTAGGTGGGTGGGGTGTGTGTATAGGTGGGTGGGGTGTGTGTGTAGGTGGGGGCGAGGAGGACAGCCCTAGAGAAAGATGCTAAGAGGGTGTACCATGAATAGCTGAGGAGGATCCACAGGTGGGTGGAGGTGGGGTGGGTGCTTGTATGTGGGGGAGGGTGTAGGTGGGTGGGGTGTGTGTGTAGGTGGGTGGGGTGTGTGAAGGTTTTGGTGCTTGTAGGTGGGTTGGGTGTGTGTGTAGGAGGGTGGGGTGTGTAGGTTGTAGTACTTGTAGATGGGTGTGTGTGTAGGAGGGTGGGGTGTGTAGGTTGTAGTACTTGTAGGTGGGTGTGTGTGTAGGAGGGTGGGGTGTGTAGGTTGTAGTGTTTGTACTAACATCCATCAGTAGTTTCTCCTTCTATTCTTGTAGTTACCATCCTGGATTAATGCATTTTCCAATAGCTATATTTCACCTGTAATGTTGTTTTGCTTGAGGAATTTTTCAAAACTAATTAATTAAACAGAAGAAGCTAATCCATTTGTACTTTGTCCAAATAAAGAGAATGAGAACTATTTAAGGCTACATTTGTGGTATTGTGTTTATGTTCCAAGCTACACTTGTGGTATTGTGTTTATGTTCCAAGCTACATTTGTGGTATTGTGTTTATGTTCCAAGCTACACTTTTGGTATTGTGTTTATGTTCCAAGCTACATTTGTAGCATTGTGTTTATGATCCAAGCTACATTTGTAGCATTGTGTTTATGCTTTCAAGCTACATTTGTAACATTGTGTTTGTGCTTCTATCTTTAATGTGTGTTGTTGGAGGTCTACACATGTGAACAGTTTTATTCCCAGCCATAAGCAAAACTGCTAAGTTTTATTGTATATCTCTAGCTTTGTTGTGGTATAAAGTATATATATTTCCCTAACTCTAGTCATGTGCATGTGTTGTCTTAAACTTTTCACACTGGACGACCCACAACTACCCAGCAAGTATTTAGGTTAAACCTAGCAACCAGAAAATGCACAACCATCCAGTTAATATTTAGGTTAAACCTAGCAACTAGACAACACACAACCACCTAGCTAAAACTTAAGTTAAACCTAGCAACTAGAAAACCCAAAACCACCCAGCTAATATTTAGGTTAAACCTAGCAACTAGACAACACACAACCACCCAGCTAAAACTTAAGTTAAACCTAGCAACCAGAAAACCCAAAACCATCCAGTTAATATTTAGGTTAAACCTAGCAACTAGACAACCCACAACCACCAAGCTAATATTTAAGTTAAACCTAGCAACTACAAAACCCACAACCACCCAGCTAATATTTAGGTTAAACCAACTAGACAACCCACAACCACCCAGTTAATATTTAGGTTAAACCTAGCAACTAGACTACCCACAACCACCCAGCTAATATTTAGGTTAAACCAACTAGACAACCCACAACCACCCAGTTAATATTTAGGTTAAACCTAGCAACGAGACAACCCACAACCACCCAGCTAATATTTAGGTTAAACCTAGCAACTAGACAACCCAAAACCACCCAGCTAATATTTAGGTTAAATCTAGCAACTAGACAACCCACAACCACCCAGCTAATATTTAGGTTAAACCAACTAGACAACCCACAACCACCCTGTTAATATTTAGGTTAAACCTAGCAACTAGACAACCCACAACCACCCAGCTAATATTTAGGTTAAACCTAGCAACTAGACAACCCACAACCACCCTGTTAATATTTAGGTTAAACCTAGCAACTAGACAACCCACAACCACCCAGCTAATACTTAAGTTAAACCTAGCAACTAGACAACCCACAACCACCCTGTTAATATTTAGGTTAAACCTAGCAACTAGACAACCCATATGATTGCTAACTCTAAAGTCCTGAGTTTTGATCTGAGGCAGATGATGCTCATAAACTGGGGGACAACAACCCATCTAGGATGAAAACTCCAAAATGAGACAATTGCTCTAGGTTGGACAAAGTTCTATAGAAACAAACCCATAAAGAAAAACAGGCAAAAACCAAGTCAGCAGGACATGACGCATAACATGTTGACACCTAATACTTGGTTGTGTTGGACAGGACATGGCGCATAACATGTTGACACATAATACTTGGTTGTGTTGGAAGAAATCCCCTCCAGTGTTACAAATAACAATGAAGAAACTTCAGTTTTAATGTATGCGTTCTGTGGGTGTCACTCTATTCTACATGTAGATGAATGATGCTGACGCAAGCAATACAACACCCACAGTGTTTGCCAATGACAAAAGTTGTGACAGACTTGAAGCAAATGTTGAAAGTGATATCAAACCTGAGATAAAGCAGTAAGTTGTTGTTTTTTTTTTCACTTTTTTCTTAGTAAGTCATATTTCCCTACATTTTTTTTCTGAAAATAAGTAATTAATTATTTTGATTCACTCATTTTTTTAGTGAATTCAGATTTTAAAGTAACTAACAAATTTTTAAGTAAATGACAATTTTTAAATACAATTTTTTGAGAAGCTTATATTCTTTAAACTTTTAACTGTAATGTTGTGTTGTGTCGGCAACTGTTTTGGCTGAAAGGCTTTGTTTAAAATTGTTCTGTCCAATCATATTTATTGAAGCTACTGGAGAAACAATCCACAGAGAAATGAAACATTATTTTATCAGGGCTTTACCAGTAGTACGTGTGATTTTTTCACATTACCTGTTGGTAACACAATTAGTAAACACATTGATATTTCACACAAAAAGTGCTTTACATAAGATATGCAGAATTACAAACTAAAGACAGGAAATAAATAAATTTATCTCCACACCTTCCTTGGAAATCCATTCTGCTTTCATCCCTTAAAATTTCACCCAAATGGTGGTCAGTTCTATATTTCACCCAAATGGTGGTCAATTCTATATTTCACCCAAATGGTGGTCAGTTCTTTATTTCACCCAAATGGTGGTCAGTTCTTTATTTCACCCAAATGGTGGTCAGTTCTATATTTGATCCAAATGGTGGTCAGTTCTTTATATTTTAACTAAGAAACTAAAAGACTTTCAATTGGATAGGGTTGATATATTTCATATGTCAAAATATGTCTCCAAAGCCAAAACATAATTTGTATGATGCAAATATAGATCTATATTGATTTATTTGTGGTATATTTAATTTGTATTTATATGGCTTGTAAATTTGTCTCAAACTTTAGTTCATTCAGGCCAGTGTTTCTCAGTTTGCAATAAATTGTTTCTGTATAAGCTTTTTGATGTGATTTTAAAATTACATTTAAAAAAGAAACAAAAAATGTGCCACACTTATTCATTCAAATAGCCATCCATGATCCAAATACGTTGATTAAAAAAGTTAGTGGTTGACATTCAGAGATTGACCCTGTGACCGCCAATGGTAAGCTGTTAAACCAGGGTGGGAGATTAACTTGAAGTGTTGTGTAACAGGCCCTGTTATCTGTCTGTTGTTGGCGTGTCCCACTAGTTTTTCAATACAAACACACAGAACTCCCTGGCAGAAAAATCAACAAGCTGTACCAGAGAAAATTATTTGTTATCAAATGTAGGCTAATCCCAAGATAACAAGACAAGTCTACTGCAAATAAACACTCAGTGCTGATATTAAAGAAATAAATAGAGACTTCATTTATCTACATTGTTTTGTACACTATCAGTTTGGCTGGGTAATGTGGTTCTGTTTGGGGTTTGACTGGGTAATGTGGTTGTCTGGGTTTGTTCCTACATGAACTTTCAGCTAGTTAACACTACAGTAGGATGGTCATTTTTGTGGCTAGAACCTCATTGCTTTGGCTTATTTTGTGACAGCAATATCTGCATGCATTACCCGTGCATTACCTTACAACACAATTGCAAATATAACATGAAATACAACACCCAATACATTAAACCCAACACAAAGCACCCAACACAACAGCACAACTCCAAATACAACACCCAACACAGTTAAGCAAAACACAACACCAAATACAACACCCAACACAGTAAAACACAACACAATACGAAATACAACACCCAACACAGTAAACACAATACAGCAAATTCCAACACAACAGCACCTAACACAACAACACTGATTACAACCTGCCTTTGTTTATTAGTCACTACAGATTTCAGCACATACTTAGAGAGAGAAAGAGACACCTCCAACACCATTTATTTTGGAACACACATATCCCCACACATTTCAGTACACACACCCAGATATTCTACATCCCCACACAGTTCATCACACACATTCTCTCCAGTCTCCATCCCCACACATTGAGCACACCCACAAACACACAGAGAGATATTCTCTTGAACAGTGACCCCTGTAGCTTTGTTTGACCAGTCTTTCTTGTTTGTCTACCTGAATCAATAAATCTCATTGAGATCTGGCCCACTCAAATGCCACCTATATTTACTCTGAAATATTTGTGCAATAAATGTGAGAAGTACACCTCAGTCCATGTTTAGAGGGAATGGTTTGCTTATTTGTTCAGTGCATCATCTGGGTGGATCTTATGTTTGTTTAAAATCTGCCAGGAACATCTTGAGAAAGTATTTGATTTCACGTGAACATGATACATCGCTACTGTAGGGGCCATCCCTTTATTATAGCTGTTTATTTTGGGATAAAAATAACATGTCAAAATTTGTTGTTTCAAGCGTCAAAATTGGGTGAAAATGTCAAAATGTGTTGTTTCAAACGTCAAAATTGGGTGAAAATGAGTCAAAATACATATTTATTAACTTGTTTTACTTGTTCATAATTTCGTGAGTGAAAATGCAAATTTTAAAACTGTTCCAACTGGAAACATGAGACTATTTATATGAAGAATTATTTGTGTTCCCCGGTGTCTTCCTAAAAGATTGTTACTTAAAAGGACAGGTCTAAAAAATGTGACAGCCAGTCAGACCCCTCTTTCAAGCTGTAGATGTTGACCGAGTAAGTGTACCCCATTAAGCTCCATCTAGTTTATCGTAAAGGCAGAGCTAGCCCACGCCTGTTGACATTCATGATGATTGTTGTTGCTTAGCAAACACCAGTACTCAGCAAACACACAGTACCCAGCATCCTCTCCCCTTCTCATCCCTCGTGGAAGTTTCGTCTCTTGGGGAAATTGGAGAAGGAAGAAACACCTGCCGTTGGTGTCTGACAACTTCAAAGATGCGGGAGGGGGGGGGGGGTGTCATCTTTGCATTATTTTGATTGGGTGTGGTAGAGAGGGGAGATTACCAGAGCGTGGTCAAAGTAAATCTTCTCGATGGGAAAGTTTGCCTGTGCTCATTTACATGTTCGGGGTAGATGCGGCTGGTGCTGTTATTTATAAAGGCCGGATGTACCTGCGGGGCAAAAATCTGGCCACACAACATCCTTCTGGCTAAAATCTGGCCACACAACATCCTTCTGGCAAAAATCTGGCCACACAACATACCTCTGGCAAAAATCTGGCCACACAACATCCTCTTGCCGTAGGTGTGAGAAGTATCAAACCACGTGAGTGTCACGTCATCTGAACGAGTACGTCATCCCGGCACACACAGGCCAAACTCATTGTTTAGACTTGTCACATTGGCACTTACCTATTTTAATTTGGGTTTAATTGGCTTTTTTTCCCTTGCGTTTTTTATTTAGGATTAGATCATCAGGTTAACATGGAGAGATGAACACAGTGTGACATGACTGACATTTTTCACATCACCGCTGTCTGGGGGAGCTTGTTTGATAGTGTACCTACCCCAGAGCCCCAGGGTACAAGTATGTACAGTATGTCCGCTGGGGGCAGTCTGCTTGGGGCCATGTTGATGGCAGGTAATGTCAGGGCTACACACATATACCTGGCAGATGGTCAGTTGGGGGGGGGGGGGGATGGCCAGTGTGTGGGTATAATAGCCAAAGTGTGGGTCTAATGGTCAGTGTGTGGGTCTAATGGCCAAATTGTGGGTCTAATGGTCAGTGTGTGGGTCTAATGGTCAGTGTGTGGGTCTAATGGCCAGTGTGTGGGTCTAATGGCCAGTGTGTGGGTATAATAGCCAAAGTGTGGGTCTAATGGTCAGTGTGTGGGTCTAATGGCCAAATTGTGGGTCTAATGGTCAGTGTGTGGGTCTAATGGCCAGTGTGTGGGTATAATAGCCAATGTGTGGGTATAATAGCCAAAGTGTGGGTCTAATGGTCAGTGTGTTGGCATAGATAAAGTGTGTGGGTTTAACAACGGCCATTTGGGTCCATGTTAAAAAAAATAACCTAACAGTGTTTTATAACTACAGAATGTTTTATTTTAATGACCAAAAAAATGTCTTGTATTGTATCCCAGATTTGTCCTCTAGATATTGTGTCCCAGATTTGTCCTCTAGATATTGTGTCCCAGATTTGTCCTCTAGATATTGTGTCCCAGATTTGTTCTCTAGATATTGTGTCCCAGATTTGTCCTCTAAGTATTGTGTCCTAGATGTGTCCTCTAAGTATTGTGTCCTAGATGTGTCCTCTAAGTATTGTGTCCTAGATGTGTCCTCTAAGTATTGTGTCCTAGATGTGTCCTCTATTGTGTCCCAGATTTGTCCTCTAGGTATTGTGTCCCAGATTTGTCCTCTATCGTGTCCCAGATTTGTCCTCTATTGTGTCCCAGATTTTTCCTGTAAGTATTGTGTCCCAGATTTGTCCTCTATTGTGTCCCAGATTTGTCCTCTACTGTGTCCCAGATTTGTCCTCTATTGTGTCCCAGATTTGTCCTTTAAGTATTGTGTCCCAGATTTGTCCTCTATCGTGTCCCAGATTTGTCCTCTATCGTGTCCCAGATTTGTCCTCTATCGTGTCCCAGAAAATGTCCTCTAAGTATTGTGTCCCAGATTTTTCCTGTAAGTATTGTGTCCCAGATTTGTCCTCTATTGTGTCCCAGATTTGTCCTCTATTGTGTCCTAGATTTGTCCTCTATTGTGTCCCAGATTTGTCCTCTAGATATTGTGTCCCAGATTTGTCCTTTATTGTGTCCCAGATTTGTCCTCTAATTTGTCCTAGATTTGTCCTCTATTGTGTCCCAGATTTGTCCTCTAAGTATTGTGTCCCAGATTTGTCCTCTATCGTGTCTCAGATTTGTCCTCTATTGTGTCCCAGATTTGTCCTCTATCGTGTCCCAGATTTGTCCTCTAAATATTGTGTCCCAGATTTGTCCTCTATCGTGTCCCAGATTTGTCCTCTATTGTGTCCCAGATTTGTCCTCTATTGTGTCCCAGATTTGTCCTCTACTGTGTCCCAGATTTGTCCTGTTGTCCTCCAAGTATTTAGTCATCAAGTTACGGGGCTTCTAGTCTAGACAAACTTTGACGGGGCGGTGCTGGTCAACTACGGGACCGAGAAAAGAATATAAACCCAGTTTGTTCTCGTCTGTCTACACACGCCTCTTGAAGGCTTTCCCGGGCTTTTCTTTGTATCGTCTTCCCCCCCCCCCACCCCACTCCCTATTGGTAAATAAGTTGAATAAAGGAAAAGAAGGGGGTGGTTTATAGCTAAATAAATAGCCGTGATCAAAGAATCGTTTGAGGCCGAGTCCTTTCATGTGAAGAAACGCATTGGCTTCCATAGTTTACTTTTCTTCCAAAAATTATGGTCCTTGTTTATTTGTAGGGAGCAGGCTCTAGTTTGGCCCTGGCTCTAGTTTGGCTCTGCCTCTAGTGTGGCTCTGGCTTTAGTGTGGCCCTACCCAGGCAGATGTGATGGCGCAACACCCACAGCTAGTATATAATTGCCACTTTGATCCTTTGTTTTTATACGGTATTAACTTTTTCATTGCTCCGCCCGCCAGTGAGCTGGTTAGCGTTGGAAAGTTCTGGAAATTAAGTTTCCTAACGCAGGCCAGTACCATCAAAGGCTGTGTTGGTTTTCCTTGAGCGGTGTTCAGTAGCTCCCTGTGTAAATTGATGTCAACTGCCACCTAAACATTGGGCTGATGGGACCAAGTCTCCAGTCTCAACAAAAACGGGACTAATTTAGCCGTACATGGTGTTGTTAGAAGAATTTTACCGATGGGGAATAGTCACCGAGATAATAGAGAAAATAGTGTTAGTGGGGTAAGGGGTGAGGGAGGGGGTAACCCACTTGGTGAAGACGGAGGGTGGGGGTATTTTTTATTTGAAAAAGCCGAAATTCCACCCCAAACTTTGTGCTAATTGTTATTGACAGTTAACTTGAGTACTGGTTCTTGTGTCAACAAAAAGAGATCAGCCCCGGTTACTTCCCCTTAATGTGGCTTGTACAAAGTCGCCCCCCTTGATATTGATTGTACACATTCACCCGGCTGACAAAACTAGCGGGGCCACCGGTCCTGCCAAAATAAATGAAAAGAAAATAGTGTCCGCGTCAGTCAACAAACACGACCGTTATTTGAAATAGTTCCCCCGGCCCCAGTGTACCAAGATTAAATGAGCCGGCCTGATTTATAGATGTAATATAGGTTTGTTCTGTGCGTGCTACAATGTTTACAGCACTAGGCGACACGCACTGTGTACACCGCCAGTCTCAAGAATACAGCTCTTCTCTTGTGAGTTTAAACTCAGTTCATACCATTAACACAGCAGTCGGAAACAAACAAATTACAATGGTCGGTTTTCTTATTGTCTAAACCTCGGTGCCTTCAGATTGTTAGTTTAATAGAAACTGTCAAAAGTGTTTGCGTATACATACATAGAAATCTATTTATCTATCTATCAATCTATATTTCTTTCACTTTCTTTATATATATATATATATGTATATATATATATATATATATATATATATATATATATATATATATATATATATATGTATATATATATATGTATATATATATGTATATATATATGTATATATATATATGTATATATATATGTATATATATATGTATATATATATGTATATATATATGTATATATATATGTATATATATATATATATATATATATATATATATATATATATAGGTAGGCGTGTATTAAAATAGGCGTGTATTAGTATGTGAAACAACAAACTACGATACTTTTAAATCAATGTATTCCTCTCCCAACGACTGACGTAACTGGCTAAACTCACAGTTTGTTTCAAATGGACATTAACTAGGTGACGAGGATTCTTCCATAGTTATTAGTCCATGTTGCCTTCATGGCGGTTGTAAACAAAACAAAAAATGAGGAAATTTGTTAATATTGTAAGAATCTATCAGTGATATAAACATTGCAATTGTGTGAATTAAATGCTACATTTCTAATTATTTTCATCAAACCTAAATTATAACCTGAAACTTCACTCAACAGAAACTTCACTTCCTAGTAATTAGAGCGCAAAACTTGGTTGATTTAAGTTTTATACAAACTTACAATTTTCAAAGCCATATGGCTATTTAATCTATGTTTGTATAGATTTTCAGTGTTAAAATTCTGAAAATACTTTAAAAAAACATCACATGCATACAATCTTTAGTCAAGTCCAACAAAACCCAAAAAGTTAAGATTTTATAACCATATTTATTTTAATAACATCGTTCATGATTTTAACAATATTTAATGGGCCTTTCGTATAATTTTGAGACTATTCTCGGTAATAGGTCTATTGCAGTTGGATTTTCCCCTCAAAGGTTAGCTGTAGGGAAATGTTATAGAACATCAATCCAAGGGAAAGCATTCAATTAATGTTAAGGAGTTTATCAAATAACATAGTTACATCCCTTGATAAATTTGGTCGTGTGAGCAGGTCTGTGACTGGGAAAATCCGATTGTTGGATGTAGGCAGCTGCTACAACCCTTTTCTTGAATTCGAGGAATTTGATGCTGTTGGTATCGATCTAAGCCCAGCTAAACAGGTGAGATGGTTTTCTCTTATAGGACAGGTGAGATAGGTGTCTAAGCTAATGAGTTAACCTGTTCTAGTACATTTAATGGTATAGTTAATTTATTTCTTTTTCAATACAAGTCACTTACTGTTCTGACAGAAATGTATGAGGTATAATCCTGTGATAATCGTTGAGTGGAATCTACAGATTTAATAAATTTGTTGATGGAGATTACTAGTCTCTCTGTTCTTTGGATACATTTTCATCCACGTGGTCCTAAAATTTGGATAACTTTTCATCCACAGACAGTCCTCAAATGTGATTTCCTCCAGTTATCTACTTATGAGCACCCCGACCCCTTGAACTTTGACCTCCATGACCTGGCCAGCCCAGTGACCCGGCTGCCAGGTCAAAGTTTCCACGCAGTTATCTTCTCCTTGCTGCTGGAGTACCTGCCCTCCCCCGCCCAGAGGTGGCAGTGCTGTACAACAGCTCACAGCCTGCTGTCCAGCAGTGGGCTGTTGCTGGTCATCACACCTGACTCCCACAGGTCAGTTCACTCAGTGGAACCCACCCAGTTGCCAGGGGGGGGGGGAGTATATCAACTTTGACCTTTGCCATAACTTTTGTTACAAATTTCTCATATTAGAGCTTATACAATGACAAAACAATGATAATTCACTTTGTCTAATTAGCTGTTAAATTATTCACTACAAGTGTGTTTTATTAAATTAGTCACTAAAAATGAATGTAAAGATCACTATTTTGTAGTAAATTAGTCACTAAAAAAACTCTTGTTCCATGAAATTAGTCAATAAAAATTAATATACAGATCACTATGTTGTATAAAATTAGTTACTAAAAATGCTTGTAAAGATTACTATGTTCACGAACCAAAGGGGAGATAACTAGATTAAGTATAATCAATCATTGTATCTGTTCAAAGATGCTGTTTAAAAAAAAGTAATAGTAAAAGTAGCTAGTGTTAGTATCTAGTCCCCAGTTGTCATTTCTCACTTGACACTTCAAATGACATATGACATTTCAGTCAACATCGTAACGCCCCCATGATGAGAAGCTGGAGACAGGCCATAGAGTCCATAGGCTTTAGGAGATGGAAGTACCAGAAACAGGATCACATCCACTGTATAGCCTTCAGAAAGGTAAGGTCAAGGTCACATCCACTGTATGGCCTCCAGAAAGGTAAGGTCACATAACTGTATGGCCTTCAGAAAGGTAAGGTCAAGGTCACATCCACTGTATGGCCTTCAGAAAGGTAAGGTTACATCCACTGTATGGCTTTCAGAAAGGTAAGGTCACATCCACTGTATGACCTTCAGAAAGGTTAGGTCAAGATCACATCCACTGTATGGCCTTCAGAAAGGTAAGGTCACATCCACTGTATGACCTTCAGAAAGGTTAGGTCAAGATCACATCCACTGTATGGCCTTCAGAAAGGTAAGGTCACATCCACTGTATGACCTTCAGAATGGTAAGGTCACATCCACTGTATGACCTTCAGAAAGGTAAGGTCAAGGTCACACCCATTGTATGGCCTTCTGAAAGGTAAGGTCACATCCACTGTATGGCCTTCAGAAAGGTAAGGTCACATCCACTGTATGGCCTTCAGAAAGGTAAGGTTACATCCACTGTATGACCTTCAGAAAGGTTAGGTCAAGATCACATCCAATGTGTGGCCTTCAGAAAGGTAAGGTTACATCCACTGTATGACCTTCAGAAAGCTAAGGTCAAGGTCACACCCACTGTATGGCCTTCTGAAAGGTAAGGTCATGCCCACTGTATGGCCTTCAGAAAGGTAAGGTCAAGGTCACACCCACTGTATGGCCTTCAGAAAGGTAAGGTCAAGGTCACATCCACTGTATGGCCTTCAGAAAGGTAAGGTCAAGGTCACATCCACTGTATGGCCTTCAGAAAGGTTAGGTCAAGATCACATCCAATGTGTGGCCTTCAGAAAGGTAAGGTTACATCCACTGTATGGCCTTCAGAAAGATTAGGTCACATCCATACTTATATTTACATTGGTTGTAAAATCTACCCATAAAACACATTACATATTTGGATACCATTTACAATGTGTAACACTGTATGTACACTTTCAGGTGTGTGACCCACACCCACGCCCCACAGGTGAGGACAGGTTTGTCGACATGCTCTACATTCCCCAAGACTTGACTGATGCCTGCTATGATGATACCCCATCAGGGCCAGTTGGAGAAGACAACGAGGAAAAACTTAACGAGTTTTTGTCCATGGCTTCTGAACTTCCAGCTCTTGAGGATGATGTATGATTAATTTGTTAATTAAATTAATGTTTGTTTTAATAGTACATGTAATTAACTTTACTAATGACCATGAGTATATGCATTTATATTTATTGATGAATACAAGTATTGATATGAGAATAAAATGTTAAGTTGAACAAGTACATCAAGTGATGAGTATTGACAAAAACATGTTTAAAAGTATTTCAAACTTGACCAAAGTTCATAAGATAATAAATATTTTGATACCTTCTATTATGTTACAAGCCCTAAGTAACAATATAACATGAATGTTTGAACCCACACCACACTACAGCTGTAGTGTTAAACCACATCATTCAGACTATAACTGGCAAGTTAACACTCATAAATGTTCAGCTAACTTGATGCTGTGGTTAACATAAAGACTGAAATGTTCCTTAAGCTTGAAGTGAAGCTGTAATAAACATAAAGTTCCTTTGTCTGGCTGGGAGTGATCAGCATAAAGCTAATAACATATGGTGATTAGTCTCTTTAGACTGCAGTCTATTGTCCTACACCGTCTGATCATTGCTTGAAGCAGCCTGACGACGGGCCATGTCATTTGATTGATTGGCTTGTATTGCAAGTCTACTAGTCGTCATTAGAAACACCCACATTTTGATTTCATCAGAGGTATCTGTGTGTTGGGGTGAGAGAGCGCATCGATGCTAACCCATTTACTAGAGAGAAAGTTCCAAAATCAAACAACTTCTGCATTGTGCTGACTGTGGTTAAGGGGCCAATCCAGAAAGAAAAGCAAGCTGAAGTCTTATGGTGCATGACATGTTGACTCAATTCTAATTGTGTTTAAGGAACCGTCAGCCAATGATACAATTAAGAACGAAGTAGAGATAATTTCCTGATGCCGCTTCCTGTAGTTTTATGAGCAGTCTCTTGCCTGTAGTACTACACATCCCTCCATAGTGCTACACATCTCTCCACAGAAACCTGTCATCATCCAAAAGTTTGGCCAGATTTTGCTTGTGTTTGGCGTAGAAGTTTGTCAGGATCTTTTTGGTTTCTTCAAACATGGGTGGCTTTGAGTTTTTGGCCATGTTTGTGTTGGCCCGGCTCATGGTGGCCATTTCTGACATGGCCTTGTCAGTGAGCTGAGCTGTAAGAAGAAATAGTTTTTAGTTGTTCATTGTATTTATGCACTCGGCGGTTCGCCCGTTGAGGGGAAATACAACGGGCGCTGGGCTAAACTAATATTAATACAACGGGCGCTGTTTTTTTTTTGTTGTTGTTGTTGTCTAAAGGCCTGCTGTATGTGGTGGCCACACCAAGAGATGAACAAACCCCCAACTTACGTAGCTGTAGAAAATCGAAGGCCTGCTGTATGTAGTGGCCACACCAAGAGATGAACAAACCCCCAACTTACGTAGCTGTAGAAAATCGAAGGCCTGCTGTATGTAGTGGCGTGTGTTGTTGCTGTAGTCCTCTGTCCTGATGATGAGGAGCCTGTCCCTAGGTAGCCTCTCCAGCCAATCGGAAACATACAAATCATACAGGCCAACATCCAGCCGTGCACGACCCTGAGATAGACGAAATGACAGTGTAAATCAGACAACCCTTAGACGAAATGACAGTTTAAATCATACAGCCTACAGATAGACGAAATGACAGTTTGAATCATACAGCCTACAGATAGACGAAATGACAGTTTAAATCATACAGCCTACAGATAGACGAAATGACAGTTTAAATCATATTGCCCTACATCCACGACCCTGAGATAGACGAAATGACAGTTTAAATCACACAGCCCTAAGACGAAACAGCATAAGACAATTCACTAATAATAGAGGGGTAATTTACTCACGTTATAGCAGATACCTCACGTACCTCTGTTTATAAAACTACCTTTACGGTACACAAGGTATAAAAAACGTAAATTAGGGGACTCTCACGACATAAGATAATGCTGCGTGTGATTTAAAGAAAGTTAAAAGCAGTTATTGGATTTTGGAGTTGTGCTGTCCCCAGTTATCGAGCCCTCCCCCCCCCCCCCCCCCGAACGATATGGATTTTATATAGTACACATACACTTTTACTAGTGACCGCCCCCTTCGAGATTTATCGGTTTAGCAACCATGAGCTTTACGGTTTACTGACTCGACCACGCAGACTCCTATTGCCATAAAAAAGTTAAATGTTTTAAATGCTGCTTCATTTGGTTGAAATTGAAAAAATTCATTCAAATAAATCAAGAACTAATCATATATTTAGGAAGTATTTGATGTCTTTACTCAACGCTTTCTAGATTTTACTTTAATATTTAATGGCAGCCATTACCGAACAGAATATATCACAATACATTTAGACAGATACAAGATACACACACACAGTATGCAAACACACGATACACCAAGTCAGCTTCAAGATGTCTGATACATTCGTGAGAACGTCCACATATCGTGGGGGGGGGGGAGATTTATCCTAAATGGGGTGGGGGGGGGGGGGGGGTAAACGTTTCTTTTAATTTTCTGGTTAAACACTAGCACATAAAATCTGTGGGTCGCTATAAATACTATAATATGTATTGGATACTTTTACTAACATTTAGGAAGTAACCAACGCTTTTCTGTATAGTTATTTAAATAGTAGAGTAATATAATCTATTAAAAGAATTTCATCTATTTTCTCCTTTTTAGACAGAGAAAACAAGTTAAATAACAGCTTGTAAAAAAGGAAAATAAAACAAGCTTGCTTTCTTCAATAAAAGCATTGGTCGCTAAAATGTGTAAGATATTTCAAGAGCGACCAGCAATTTTAGCGCAATTTCCATTCTGGAGAATTGCGTTTATTAACCCGTCATTTCTGGATGGATGAATGTATGGATGAATGTATGTGTGTCCGCAGCTTTAAGTCGTATCTCCTCCTCAACGAAGCAATATCGATGACTAGTTCCAAAAGCAATTATGTTAAGCAAGTTACCAGGATGAACATAGGCCATAAAATTCCGGGTTTCTTTCATGGATTTCCCGGAAAAGCCAAAAAACCTCGAAAAAAAAGCAGTTTTTTGCCCATATCTCGGCAACCAGACCATTTAGCGACTTGAAACATGTACCAATCGATTCCTGCCATAATTTAGAACAATATTGCCGAAGAAAGTTTTCAAAAATTTCCTTTCGATCGGTCACAAAAATTTTTTTGAATTAATTAAAATTTGGACCGAATTAGTAGGCATTTTTATCCAACTACACCACACGCGTCATCACGTTCAATAGCTGCGCCATCACGTTCAATGGCTGCGCCATCCAGAGTTTCTTCCAGGCATCTCTTCGGGGGGGACAAAGCCCCCCCGAAAATTTTTTACCGCCCCCCCCCCCCCCCGAACGAAATGAAATTTATATAATTTATATAGAAAATATATACTTTTAACAGTGTCCGCCCCCCGAAGAAAGTTTACCGCCCCCCCGAAGATTTCAAGTGCCCCCCCCCCCCCCCCCGGAGAAAAAAGTCTGGAAGAAACACTGGCGCCATCACGTTCAGTAGCTAGGCGCGCAATGGTTTTTAGTCATGTAACTCTATTGTAAATAAAACATGTATTTTAACCAATGGTTTTACTAACCCTGCTCTTGATTTACGCTACGACAGAGCTATTTTTAGATAACATAAGGAAATTGCGCTTAAATGTCACTAGACTTTTTAATTAACTTGTTTTAATTTTTCAGAGCATTTAAAAGAAGCTTACTTTTAGATCAATAAGTGTTTTTTTTTTAATATGTGTTTTATTTCTACTTTTTATTGTTTCGTTCTTTATTAAGTCGACACCACATACAACACAAATATTTCCTTTAAAACCATATCTGTAGCTTACGATCCTGAAAAGACAATTATCTGCCCTTTTCTTTGTTCGTGTCAAATTTGTGGCAAGAAAACAGCTAACCATAACCAGTTCACCACCATCGGCTAGCTGATCGATCAATCACTAGAACTTAATCTTGTCATCTCCCCTTTTATTGTGGAATTTTGTAACCTTTTAACTAAAGTTTAATTACTTATCTAATGCGTAATTTGATTTAAAATTAAATATGTTTGCATCCAATGCGTCTCGAAGGTTGCAACGAAATCGCTGCATTAGAAGCGGGTTAAAACTGAGTTACAAGATTTACCACAAACCCTCAAACAAACGGACACTGTAAACTAAATAAACGTTGACAACTCTAACAAGTACCCAGAGTTACAAGATTTACCACAAACCCTCAAACAAACAAACAAACGGACACTGTAACCTAAATAAACGTTGAGAACTCTACCAAGTACCCAGAAGTGCTTCATGTTCCTGACATCAAAGGCACAGTGCCGGACAGAGTGTCGACTCAGGCAGACATTGAAGTGGTAGATGAAACTGTTGACCCTCGAGTGGAAATCTTCGGGCGTCTTGGTGCTCGAGAAAAACAGGTAGTCGGAGTACAATCTGAGGTGGTAGGTGGAGGAAAAACATTCGTAGTACCATGTTTCAGGAGGTAAAGTGCCAATACAACAGTCAACAATCTATTTTGTCAGCTGTTTTTATTGGAGCAAGTGTGTAACAAAACTGCAAGTTTGCACCGATTAAAAATGTTTAATGTGCCTCAGCTCTACGTCACACTGGTCACTGGATGACGTATGAACCTTCATCTAGTGGACCCACCCTATCCACCCCCATCTAGTGGACCCACCCTATCCACCCTCATCTAGTGGACCCACCCTCATCTAGTGGACCCACCCTATCCACCCCCATCTAGTGGACCCACCCTATCCACCCCCATCTAGTGGACCCACCCTATCCACCTCATCTAGTGGACCCACCCTCATCTAGTGGACCCACCCTATCCACCTCATCTAGTGGACCCACCCTATCCACCCTCATCTAGTGGACCCACCCTATCCACCTCATCTAGTGGACCCACCCTATCCACCCACATCTAGTGGACCCACCCTCATCTAGTGGACCCACCCTATCCACCCTCATCTAGTGGACTCACCCTATCCACCCTCATCTAGTGTACCCACCCTCATCTAGTGTACCCACCCTCATCTAGTGTACCCACCCTCATCTAGTGGACTCACCCTATCCACACTTATTTAGTGGACCCACCCTATCCACCTCATCTAGTGGACCCACCCTATCCACCCACATCTAGTGGACTCACCCTATCCACCCTCATCTAGTGTACCCACCCTCATCTAGTGTACCCACCCTCATCTAGTGTACCCACCCTCATCTAGTGGACTCACCCTATCCACACTTATTTAGTGGACCCACCCTATCCACCTCATCTAGTGGACCCACCCTATCCACCCACATCTAGTGGACCCACCCTATCCACCTCATCTAGTGGACCCACCCTATCCACCCACATCTAGTGGACTCACCCTATCCACCCTCATCTAGTGTACCCACCCTCATCTAGTGGACCCACCCTATCCACCCTCATCTAGTGGACTCACCCTATCCACCCTCATCTAGTGTACCCACCCTCATCTAGTGTACCCACCCTCATCTAGTGTACCCACCCTCATCTAGTGGACTCACCCTATCCACCCTCATCTAGTGGACCCACCCTATCCACCCTCATCTAGTGGACTCACCCTATCCACCCTCATCTAGTGTACCCACCCTCATCTAGTGTACCCACCCTCATCTAGTGTACCCACCCTCATCTAGTGGACTCACCCTATCCACCCTCATCTAGTGGACTCACCCTATCCACCCTCATCTAGTGTACCCACCCTCATCTAGTGTACCCACCCTCATCTAGTGTACCCACCCTCATCTAGTGGACTCACCCTATCCACACTTATTTAGTGGACTCACCCTATCCACCCTCATCTAGTGGACCCACCCTATCCACCCTCATCTAGTGGACCCACCCTATCCACCCTCATCTAGTGGACCCACCCTATCCACCCTCATCTAGTGGACCCACCCTATCCACCCTCATCTAGTGGACCCACCCTATCCACCCACATCTAGTGGACCCACCCACATCTAGTGGACCCACCCCCATCTAGTGGACCCACCCTATCCACCCCCATCTAGTGGACCCACCCTATCCACCTCATCTAGTGGACCCACCCTATCCACCCACATCTAGTGGACCCACCCTATCCACCCTCATCTAGTGGACCCACCCTCATCTAGTGGACCCACCCACATCTAGTGGACCCACCCCCATCTAGTGGACCCACCCTATCCACCCCCATCTAGTGGACCCACCCTATCCACCCCCATCTAGTGGACCCACCCACATCTAGTGGACCCACCCTATCCACCCTCATCTAGTGGACCCACCCTCATCTAGTGGACCCACCCTATCCACCCTCATCTAGTGGACCCACCCTCATCTAGTGGACCCACCCTATCCACCCCCATCTAGTGGACCCACCCTATCCACCCCCATCTAGTGGACCCACCCTATCCACCTCATCTAGTGGACCCACCCTCATCTAGTGGACCCACCCTATCCACCCTCATCTAGTGGACCCACCCTATCCACCTCATCTAGTGGACCCACCCTATCCACCCACATCTAGTGGACCCACCCTATCCACCCTCATCTAGTGGACCCACCCTCATCTAGTGGACTCACCCTATCCACCCTCATCTAGTGTACCCACCCTCATCTAGTGTACCCACCCTCATCTAGTGGACTCACCCTATCCACACTTATTTAGTGGACCCACCCTATCCACCCACATCTAGTGGACCCACCCTATCCACCCACATCTAGTGGACCCACCCCCATCTAGTGGACCCACCCTATCCACCCTCATCTAGTGGACCCACCCTCATCTAGTGTACCCACCCTGTCCACCCTCATCTAGTGGACCCACCCTCATCTAGTGGACTCACCCTATCCACCCTCATCTAGTGTACCCACCCTCATCTAGTGTACCCACCCTCATCTAGTGTACCCACCCTATCCACCCTCATCTAGTGGACTCACCCTATCCACCCTCATCTAGTGTATCCACCCTCATCTAGTGTACCCACCCTATCCACCCTCATCTAGTGGACTCACCCTATCCACCCTCATCTAGTGTACCCACCCTCATCTAGTGGACCCACCCTATCCACCCTCATCTAGTGGACTCACCCTATCCACCCTCATCTAGTGTATCCACCCTCATCTAGTGTACCCACCCTATCCACCCTCATCTAGTGGACTCACCCTATCCACCCTCATCTAGTGTACCCACCCTCATCTAGTGGACCCACCCTATCCACTCACATCTAGTGGACCCACCCTATTGACACGTGACTCACCTCTCCACCGGTTCCCTCATCAAGACGATGACGCGGATGTTCGGGTTCATCCTGAGGATAAGGTCAGCTGTCAGGTAGACCGGTTGTGAGCAGTTCTGGTTCTCTTTGATCTGGTCCCAGTTGTTGGAGTCCCAGAAACTGGAGGCGCTACTGTCTACTGTAGCAGATTAGCAACATAGAATGTATCAGGTATGCAACACAGAGTATACAGATATAAAACACGTATGTATCAGATATGCAACAAGATGTAGCTGATATAATACATTGAAGCAGATATGCAACACAGGTTGTAACATATTAGCAACATAATATAGTTAGCAGATAAGCAACAGATTAAAGCAGATATGAATCATGTAGGATGTATTAGGTTTACAAAATAAGTTGTAGTATATTGCAATAAAGAGTGTAGCAGATGTGCCACATAGAGAGTTGAGAGAGTAGCAGGTTCGCAACATTGAGTGTAGCAGACAAACATCATGGGTGTAGCAGATTTACAACATAAAGCATATATACAACAGAGGTATATCTCTAAGGTATCGATCGAATCACTTACTTGTGATCATAGGGTAGTCTACGCCTGCTAGCGATGTTTTTGTAGCTTGGCTGTTATTGGTGGTTTCTGGATAATTCCACCCTGAGAAGATTTCATTTAGTTCTTTAGTAGGAAATTTTTTTAAAAGATGTTGACTAATTCTACATATTTTTAAAACCCTTTTTAGTATCATATCAGTCACCCACCTTTCTATTGAGAACTAAGTCACCCACCTTTCAGCTTCGAGTCACCGACACCTCTGTTGGTCACGATTGCTGTTGTCGCGTCTGAGAAAAATGTCTTGGCGTATTCACGATAGAAGCAGTCATAAGACCCTAGAATAGGCAGAATTTTGCTATCAGACCCTAGGATAGGCAGAATTTTGCTATCAAACCCTACAAACAGCAGAATTTTGCAATCATCAAACCGTACAATAAGTAGAATTTATCTATTATTAGACCCTACAATAAGCAGAATTTTGCAATCATCAGATTCTACAACACGCTCACAATGATCTACTTGATGAATTCATATTTTATTTTACCGGATAAAAAACGAAACCCGGCCCTACAAACTTCTTACTGTTGTGTGCCGCCTGTGTCGCACATTGCATGGAGAACAAGTCACGGGTCCAGTAGTGGGGCTCTTTGGTCCACGGTGGTGCGATGAGCGGATGTGCTAGAAGACGGTTGTGGAAGTCCGTGGTGCCAGACTTTGGAAAACCTGAAACAACGGTACGTAGATGAGAACTAATTAACTGAATCATTCGGTGGCCAACTAGCATCAGTCAGACTTTTTGTATCTAGCATCAGTCAGACTTTTTGTATCTGTCAACGATCATCAGACAGACTTTTTGTATCTAGCATCAGTCAGACTTTTTGTATCTAGCATCAGTCAGACTTTTTGTATCTAGCATCAGTCAGACTGTTTGTATCTAGCATCAGTCAGACTTTTTGTATCTAGCATCAGACAGACTGTTTGTATCTAGCATCAGTCAGACTTTTTGTATCTAGCATCAGTCAGACTTTTTGTATCTAGCATCAGTCAGACTGTTTGTATCTAGCATCAGTCAGAGTTTTTTGTATCTGTCAACGATCATCAGACAGACTTTTTGTATCTGTCAACTATCATCAAACCGAGTTCTTAGATGTCATCTAGCATCAGGCAGACTTCGCATGTGTCATCTAGAATCAGATATTCAGACCTCTGACACAATCATGATAAAGCTGAATACTTGTGTACTCTCTACCCACCTGCTAACAACACATAAGGCACACACAATATGGATGAACTGTTTGTACTTTCTACCCACCTGCTAACAACACATAAGGCACACACAATATGGATGAACTGTTTGTACTCTCTACCCACCTGCTAACAACACATAAGGCACACACAATATGGATGAACTGTTTGTACTCTCTACCCACCTGCTAACAACACATAAGGCACACACAATATGGATGAACTGTTTGTACTCTCTACCCACCTGCTAACAACACATAAGGCACACACAATATGGATGAACTGTATGTACTCTCTACCCACCTGCTAACAACACATAAGGCACACACAATATGGATGAACTGTTTGTACTCTCTACCCACCTGCTAACAACACATAAGGCACACACAATATGGATGAACTGTATGTACTCTCTACCCACCTGCTAACAACACATAAGGCACACACAATATGGATGAACTGTTTGTACTCTCTACCCACCTGCTAACAACACATAAGGCACACACAATATGGATGAACTGTTTGTACTATCTACCCACCTGCTAACAACACATAAGGCCCACACAATATGGATGAACTGTTTGTACTCTCTACCCACCTGCTAACAACACATAAGGTACACACAATATGGATGAACTGTTTGTACTCTCTACCCACCTGCTAACAACACATAAGGCACACACAATATGGCTGAACTGTTGTCAACATCCTTCCAACAGGGATTTTTAAAATTCTTCAAAAAAGGTAGCCGTGTCTGCAGGACGAGAGGTAAAGATTAGCTGCTGCAGACGAGTATATCAACTGCTGCTGCTGTCCAGTGTAAACATCTTTCGCGGTAAACCCATGGTGACCCTGTACCACTAGCTGACAGGAGATGGTTGATGTGGTACTACAGCGGTATACCACAAGATGTCTTTGTGAGTCAAGTGATTTAGTGTCAACGTTGTGATCTTCATGGGTACACAAGGCAGCGGTGGATTTAAGAGGGGGGGGGGGGGCGAGAAGAGATGCCTGGAAGAAACTCTGGTTTAAGGGGCAATGACTCTCCTTTAAATAGTTGAATATGTGGTCCACAACGCTATTTTTTAAATAGGACTTTTTCTGGTCTTATCTTTAAAAACTGAACAAAATTATCAATGGTGAGCACTGTGTGCCCATATCACGTGATAAGCGGTAAAAATATATGTCTGGGAAGTCTACGAACAAATTCAGAACATTAAGTACGTCTGTTTCTAGAAGAATTACTTTTTAAAATTATCTTTTCACCTGCCAACGTCGTTGTTATGATCGTTTAAAAATGTTGTTTTTGTACTAAAATAAAAAACATGTACTGGTTTTTAGACAACTTACAAGTTTGGATGTAGAGACGAGCGCTTCCTTTACCACGGCCGTCAGGTTTGTCTTTTCTTGACAATATTTCTTGAAGAAAACATTTTAAGAAAAAATTATTGTATCCTTTACGACAGCATTGTTTTTCAAACAAAATCATAAGTAGGTCTTTTACATTTGGTGGGTTTTTTTTAACTTTTTAAAAACAAAGCGGGAGTGATCTCCCCTAAACTATCTCGGTTATTCTTATATAGCAATAAGGGGAGAGCACTTCCACAACAATCGGGCTATAGAAATGCTATTGATTATTTTTTTAATAGAATATTCTCGAAAAATAAATAGAATGGTGTATTTAAAAATGTAAAAAATCGTGTGCGGTGTTCTGAAAATAAATGTGGTTGGTGATGATGAGGAACTTTGCGCAGAAAAATCAAATACATGCCTGGAAGAAACTGGCCCCCGAACTGAAAAGTTTGGAGACCCCTGTTTTAGTTGGACTTCATGAAAGATTGGATGTATTTGATGTTTTTAATACAATTTCGTTAACTAAACAAAATTAAAAAACAAAAACACAGAAAAACAACAATTTAGTTGTTTACATTTTATAACTAAAAATGACATTGAACAAGGCTGAATTTTGTTATGTGATTTAATAAAAAAATTAATTTAATTTAAATTTTTTATCCGCAAAGTATTGAGTAAAATGTAATGTAATAAGTGGGGTTTTCATATCGATTACAGAGAACATGTACAGCCAATCAATGTTTGTCTCGGCCACCTCCATAGCCTACCAAACGTTATGTGCATAGAGGGAATATTGATTAATTTTTAAAAGTTAATTAAACATTTGATCCAGTTACATTTTATGTCACAGTTCATTGCCGTCGAGTCTTGACCTACGTGAAACGTTTTAAATAGAATAAAATCTTATATCTATGTAAAAATCTTCGTCCACTTCACTTTAACGGTACTCTGGTACTTACTCTATTTCCGGTTAACGGAAATCGCTCAAAAGTTGAAGGAAAGCTACAAATGTATTCTTTCTCTATGTCGGAAAGGTTGTAAAACATCAAAATCTCGATGGATAGTTTTCGCACGGTACAAAACATCCTTTATATTTGGTACGAGCCGGCCCGCGGCATAACATACGCCGCTATTTAGTTGTTTCTAATTTTCAATAATTCATAATTTGTGAATTCGACAGTACCAACGCTGACACTGAAAATATTTCTTTAAAACACTATAAGTAGCTCGTTAAGGACCATAACCCCCCCCCCCTTCCTTCCCTCCCCCCCCCCTCCTCCCCCCCCCCCCCTACGTTTAAAATCGTTGGCTCTGCTTGTAAACATTTAGAGTGAACACAGCTCACTAAAACCATGTAGGGGTGGGGAGGTAGGGAGAGAGTTTGCAGCTTGTTTTCTAACGGCTCGAAGAAGAGAATTATATATATAGATACGATAAAGTATGCAGGTGTAAAACGGCGAAAACTGTCAAAATCAATATATATAATTCTCTTCTGGTTGACGCTAGAAAACAAACTGTAAGCGCGCTCCCTACCACCCCACCCCTATATGGTCTGGTGAGCTGTGGTTCACGCTTGTTTACAAGCAGAGCCGGGTTTAGTGACGACTATTATGGGCAGATAATTTAGTTTGAAACGATTTTAAACGGAGGGGGGGAGGAGGGGGGGGGTATCGTCCTTAACGAGCTACTTATAGTGTTTTAAAGAAATATTTTCAGTGGCAGCGTTAGTACTGTCGAATTCACAAATTATGAAATACTGAAAAGTAGAAAAAACAACAACTAAATAGCGGCGTATGATATGCCGCGGGTCGGCTCGTATCAAAATAATCAAGCATAATTACATTTCCTCTTGTCTCTGAATAAGAGAAAGTAAAGAACCAGTTTCAAGCATAAGTCCTGGGAAATATTTTACCTGTCTAAAAAATATTACCTGTCTAAAAAAATATTACCTGTCTAGAAAAATAATTACCTGTCTAAAAATATTACCTGTCTAGATAAATATTACCTGTCTAGAAAAATATTATCTGTCTAGAAAAATATTACCTGTCTAAAAAAATATTACCTGTCTAGAAAAATATTACCTGTCTAAAAAATATTACCTGTCGAGAAAATTATTACCTGTCTAGAAAAATATTACCTGTCTAAAAAAATATTACCTGTCTAGAAAATTATTACCTTTCTAGAAAAATATTACCTGTCTAAAAAATATTGCCTGTCTAGAAAATTATTACCTGTCTAGAAAAATATTACCTGTCTAGAAAAATATTACCTGTCTAAAAAATATTACCTGTCTAAAAAAATATTACCTGTCTAAAAAAATATTGCCTGTCTAGAAAAATAATTACCTGTCCAGAAAAATATTACCTGTCTAGATAAATATTACCTGTCTAGAAAAATATTACCTGTCTAGAAAAATATTACCTGTCTAAAAATATTACCTGTCTAAAAAATATTACCTGTCGAGAAAATTATTACCTGTCTAGAAAAATATTACCTGTCTAAAAAAATATTACCTGTCTAGAAAATTATTACCTTTCTAGAAAAATATTACCTGTCTAAAAAATATTGCCTGTCTAGAAAATTATTACCTGTCTAGAAAAATATTACCTGTCTAGAAAAATATTACCTGTCTAAAAAATATTACCTGTCTAAAAAAATATTACCTGTCTAAAAAAATATTACCTGTCTAGAAAAATAATTACCTGTCCAGAAAAATATTACCTGTCTAGATAAATATTACCTGTCTAGAAAAATATTACCTGTCTAGAAAAATATTACCTGTCTAAAAATATTACCTGTCTAAAAAATATTACCTGTCGAGAAAATTATTACCTGTCTAGAAAAATATTACCTGTCTAAAAAAATATTACCTGTCTAGAAAATTATTACCTGTCTAGAAAAATATTACCTGTCTAGAAAAATATTACCTGTCTAGAAAATTATTACCTGTCTAGAAAAATATTACCTGTCTAAAAAATATTACCTGTCTAAAAAAATATTACCTGTCTAAAAAAATATTACCTGTCTAGAAAAATAATTACCTGTCTAGAAAAATATTACCTGTCTAGATAAATATTAACTGTCTAGAAAAATATTACCTGTCTAGAAAAATATTACCTGTCTAAAAAATATTACCTGTCTAGAAAAATATTACCTGTCTAAAAAATATTACCTGTCGAGAAAATTATTACCTGTCTAGAAAAATATTACCTGTCTAAAAAAAATATTACCTGTCTAGAAAATTATTACCTGTCTAGAAAAATATTACCTGTCTAAAAAAATATTACCTGTCTAGAAAATTATTACCTGTCTAGAAAAATATTACCTGTCTAAAAAAATATTACCTGTCTAGAAAAACATTACCTGTCTAGAAAAATATTACCTGTCTAGAAGTTTCTATAGCCATGGTCGATGCTGGTGGTGTGGTCTCCCGAAGCATCAGTTTCCTGCGTAGAACGTCATTAGTTTATGTGTAGTGTTATATCTCATACAGGGTCAGATTATTTAGCTCTTTAAATTAACAAAATATCACCACTCTTCTCATTTCTGGTAATGGATTTTAATTATGTGTTGTTTCCATTGGCATACTAGTTTGGATATGACCTGATGCAGACCCCCCCCCCCACCTACCCTTCTCTCCAATACTTTGGACATTGTCCGCTAATGCATTATAATTATTATTCTATACGTTGGTCCATTTGTTGGAAGTTTTTTGTTGGTGCTTGATTAAAATAGATGTTTTTGTTGGTGCTTGATTAAAATAGATGTTTTTGTTGGTGCTTGATAAAAATAGATGTTTTTGTTGGTGCTTGATTAAAATAGATGTTGTTGTTGGTGCTTGATTAAAATATATGTTTTTTGTTGGTGCTTGATTAAAATAGATGTTTTTGTTGATGCTTCATTAAAATAGATGTTTCTGTTGGTGCTTGATAAAAATAAATGTTTTTGTTGGGGATTTTTTTAGTTGAATTTAATTTTAATAATTCAACTCCGTAAATTGTTGAACAAGCTACAACCAGGGGCGGAACTACCATACCGCCAGACCCCGCAATGCGGGGGGGCCCAGGACGTTTAGGGGCCCAGTTCCGACCAAAAAACAATGAATTTTTTTTTTCAAAAATTATGTTTTTCATGCATTTTGAAAGTGGT